GGGGGTATGTATACGGTGTACCCACGCGCGCTGAAAGGGTGGGGGGGAGAGGGAGACCGAGAAAAGTCAACAATCAGAAACAATTCCTTAAAGGCGAAGACGATTTTTCATTCCCTCCTGCGACCGAATACGACCCCCCCCCAGGCTTAGAGTTACCATTGTACAACGAGTCCTGGCTCTGTTTCGGGGCTTGCATCATAATTACTGGCTCAGATTAAGTGTTGACTTTTTTCAGGTGACACTATTATATTCGAAGAGAACAAGAAAACTGTCACATTAATCGATCAGAGCATACAGGTGAGATAACTTGGAGTGTTTTCACGTTGGATAGGGGGTACGCGACTGTGCTGCCATGCCACGACATGTTTGCTTGTCTGCGCCCTCTTACCTTAACAGTGTCACAATTCGTTTCGGAGTGATTCCGATATATTTCATGTGAAAAATCGATTGCCAATAGTAAAGTATCCAATATGCTTACTCTAAGGCTCAAAAAAACGTAGAAGACACTGGCAGGGCACAACGATCACTTGCATTTATTCCCCTCGCCTCTCCTTTGCCGCTATACCTTTTTCTTTTATTTGAACATTGTTTTTGGAGGCTCAAAAGAGGGTACTGCTCGTATTTTTGCTAGAATGAAATGCAAAACGGGTCCTTATATCGGCCTGATTCACAACGCTGGACGTGATCAATGCAAGAGAGCTGGTCAAATTGGCAAATCGTTGTCGCTGAAATCGTGTACCTGAACAGACCTCGATGCCATATTTCTACTGTTTTTACCCTTTTCCGTCTTTATGTCACATGTTCTTCTTAATCATAGCGTTTTCCTGAACCTTCTTGTTACTTTAGCCTCTCGCAGAGGAAGTTTGTACGGAAGTCTTGTAAGAAGATCTACTTTTGCCTCTTCTATTTTAAGTTCAAATCATAGCCTTAAAATGAAGTAAACACACCCTTTGAGACATGCAGCGTCTGCTCATGGTTGAATACTTGCATACTAGGTAGTCCGCGTCGCATTCGCAAGAACTGCGTTTCTTTTACGGCTCGGGAATAAGAGCGTCAAGACCGTTGTTCGTCACAGTAACTCCACCCACCTGCTGGCAGCTCGAAACTGGTATGCATGGAATAGCGCTGCGCTCATATCTGCATCTGTGCAGGGTTGTCTTTATCGTCTCGCTACTCTCCCACTCCTTGGTCTCCCGCACACACTCGCAGTGTCTTTTCACGTCTCGCTGTTTGTCCGCTGCTGACAAAATGTTGCGAAATTGAGTGTTTTCTTCAGGCTTTTACGACGGCTATGTCTGCTATTTTCTCTACTGGTAAGTTAGCTTGCACCTAAAACTTTTATCTGGATCAAATACCCACTACTTGGATTCGCTGATTGTGATCCTTAAGAACAAGCACCTCGGGCGGGCACGTCGCTGGGGATCAACAGCGAGAGGGTTCGCATCTGCCTCTGACGAAGAAGTCCCGGATGTTGGGCCTGTTTCACGCGTGCTCGTAATCACTCCTTACCCACTTCGACGGCAGTTTTTTGGGAAATGTGGGAGGGAGGGGGAAGGAGGGAAAGTGGAGAATTCTTGAGAAACTTGGCAAAGCGGTAGGAAACTGAGAAAAGTCAGGAAGATTGTAGGTAAGATGGGGACAGGGGGATGAGGTGATACCAGAGGAATATTTTGAGGGGGAAGGAGCTGTCAGAATTGTCCCAACGGCATAACGTGCCTTGACCTAAGGCCTCTGTGAGTCTGACTCTGGTAATTTTGATTTTAGGTGTCTTCGATGATTCTACCAAATGTTGGCTCCATAATATTCTCAGATGATGCAGTTATTGGTGAAAAAAGTCGATGGCAATGTACCCGTCGAAAGAGCCCAGAAAGTTAGTTAAAGACATTTTTTTCATGATTTCACACGCTGTCAGTTCCATTTTAACATTCTTGCTAATCGAGGAGTACCACTGCTAAAACTCTGGAGATTCCTGGGAATTGGAAATCTTTCGCTAGTGTTCACATAGCATCACAATGAATGACCCCCCACCCACCAAATTTTCGCCTCCAGTTTACCATGTAACCAAATCACACTGTATTCTTACCAAGTTTCCTCAAACGACCGGCGTAGAGCGGGGGCAGGTGGGGGTAGGTGTGGAAAACCAACTATTGAAAAGTTACTCTAAGAATATTTACGTATTGATCCTGTCGTTGAGTGTCCCTCATCCCTCTCTAGTGAACCCCTCCCCTTTCTCTCTATCCTAACCTGCGAATATATGCTACCGCGAAATTCCTTACGAGTTCCTGCTACTTTCTGAACGTTTTTGCACCAGTACAATACCCGCCGTAATTGTTCGAAAAAAACGAAAAAAACGCGGATCCGCGTTTTTTTCGTTTTTTCGCTGTAACTCAATTTGGGTATCCCTTTCTCATATGGAATCCTATACCGTTAGACTCAGCTCGTCGAGCTCTATTGATCGGCATCCAAAAATCAAAAAAGTGAAAATGAACTCTGCTCCTGGTCGAAGTACCTGAGGACACTCGTTAGCGAGCGAGTCTCGCTATAATTGTAACCAGAGGGTAATCGTTGGAAATCAAATCATCCAGAATTCAAATAGCGTACTGTATGACCTAAGAATTGATTAGAAATCGGATAACTGAATTTTTAAATTGTGCTGATCAATTAACAGTGTCAGTGTTCTCTGAAAATGGCAGGTATTGCGAGAATGATGTTTATCCTACGAACAGACCTTTCAGATCTGAAGAATTCCGAGCTCTGGTTCAATTAGAATTCAGGAACAATACCTAAACGTCATGGACCCTGTTCTCCTCAGTATTCTAAATTAAAAGGAATTAAGCTGAAAGAGAAGGAGGTTTATTTAGCTACTTGATATGGCAGCGCATTTACCGCGATACTAACGCCAATACGAAGATAGCGTTTCAGCAGGATTTCAGCGCTCTGGGACCAGTAAATCCATTAAAGAAGAGATACAGTACGGAAGGCTTGTGTCCAAAAACACGGTGGAAAACAGTGAACAGCATTTTAATTATGCTACTACCGGGTTCCAACTTCAAGTCTTCATTTCAGAACAAAAATTGCGCCTTTTCCAAAGAAAGAAAACCACTGTCAAAGTAGAACCATTTGAATCCCTATGAAAAATGTAAAAATGAATGTTGGACACTTCTTTCTCTATTTCGCAAAAGGTTCGTGAGGATTTTCTAGGAATGTTGCTCATTTCAATTTCAAAACTGAAACTTTCATCAAGCTTCAAGAAAAGTTTTGACTCTTGGTTAGCAACTCCCTCCATCGTTAGGGTTCGTTGTTATGATACTTTGCATAATAGATGAAACGCCTATTTTACAATAGCTCTCACATGCTCTAGATCAACTGTTTCCATAAAGTACAAAAGGCATGAATTATTTCTTGAATTCCCAAGGGTTACACTGAATTCTGATAGAAAGATAGCCATTTTTTTAGATGAGTTGATTTGAACATTTCATTGGACACACCCCATTCAAACAGTGTGAAATCTCATGCACATTCGGCTCATATATGTAAGCAAAAAAGTCATTAGGTATGAGCGCAGGCACCGCGGAGGTCGACAGCTGCGATCGGCTGGAGGTCTTCGTTCAAACGACAACTGAAGAAAGCAAGTATAATACTATATTTGTGGGTGGTACGGAAATGGTAGATACTCAGGCTAACTTGCAAAACGCAAAACAATAGCGATTTGGCGATTTCCGCTAATCGAGAAATCGTTTGAAACAACAAACTTCGTACACTGCGAGCTCCCGCATTTTTATTTATTTTTGTGTACATATCCGCTTCAAGTATGATCAAGAGTCATAGAGCTCGAGCGAGCTGAGTCTAAACGTATAGTTCCATAGAGAAAAGGATAGCCTCAATATTGATACGGAAAAAAACGACAAAAAACGCAGGATCCGCGTTTTTTTTTCGTTTTTTTCGAACAATTACGGCGGGTATTGTAGTTGATCGGGAGAGAAAGGAGTGGGATATGTGTGGTGAAGGTTATAGAGTACGTAAGACCAGTAAACGATTTTTTCAAAGACAAATACGACCCCTCCCCACAGCGACCAAATACGACCCAACCCTACCTTGTTGGGGGTCCTAAAGTACGAAGTGTTCTGGCGGGGATACAATATAAAAATGAATGGGCCTGCCTTGACGAGGTTTCTGATCCTGTTTTGCCTTTGTCCCCTATCTTCCATAATATTAATGTGGAGCGATGAGGAACAAGTGCGGCAGTATGCGTGGGATTGTAGTCTACTACATTTTGCCATGTCTAGTTAGCACTTATAATGGTTAATCGAAGCTCATGCTACACTTCACACAGATTGAAGTCCCCCCAATCACCGTCGAGTGCCCCTCAGACCTGATTGGATGCCGACTGCATGGCGTAACCCACAAACGTGTATAGGTTCATTACAAATCTTCATTTGCACGCAAAAAAGATAATTTTCAGAAGTCTTCTTCGAGTCTGATGCGGTCTTCCCGGCTTTCAGGTATTCCTTCAGTGACTACATCTTTTTCCTTTCCCTCTTCATATCTGCTGAATTTCTCTCAAAGGCACTACTGCAGTGATCGTATGGGCGGAGTTAGGTCACCATTCATCCCTCCTTCATTGGTGCTCTCCTACTCTCCAATTTTGTAGCGCACCAATGACGGGAGAGCAGTTCTGACTCCACCCATACCACTAGTAAAACTTGTGCCTATAATCTCGGCACAGGCCTCATAAAAACGCTCCACATTGTTGGGATTACTGGTGATATGCTGCAGCTTCCAGACTGTAAAATGACACTATTTCAGTGATCCAGCAAGTTGGCTGCAAGACGGCAAATCGTTGCTCCATATGAATATGGTGCCAGGGCCAAAGGTAGGAACTTTTCATTTTTGTATTCTTATCATTTTGCGCTCATAGGGACCCCACTACACCTTACCTTATTCAAGTTATTACTTCTGCTTCTCTGTTTGTAACTTCGAGAACTTGGTTTTACCTGAGCAGGACTTATTTGAAGAGTTCACAGGGATGGGACAACTGGTAGGGCGCGAGGGTACAGACTACACATAGACCGCGCTAACTCCATTTGTAGTCTGGATCCTGCCTGCCCGCTGGATGGAGTGTGCTCTGGCAGTAGGTACCATGGGCGAAAATTTACGTATCTGTCGCAAAACAAATCAGAAGTGGAGCGGGAGGGGGGGGGAC